CTGCAGGGGATTATGGTATGGGTTCAGGTCCCACACCGGGTCATTTTGCCGAAAGCGGCAGTGGGAAGAGCCCGAGCGAGAGCGACAATGGCGCACACCTGATGTAGAGAGCGAGGGCGGCCCGAGTGAGAGCGACAATGGCGCACACCTGATGTAGAGAGCGACAATGGCGCACACCTGGTAGAGTGGGATGGGGTTTCGGTCGGTCCTTTCAGCTGAGGGTCTCGAAAGTCCTCCTCAACAATGAGCTTAGCGCGGAGAGGATCAGAGGAGAACGCGATAGCACTTCAACACCGGGAGAGAGGGAAAGGTTGGTAGGTAGGTACCGAGTGGGCATTTGGGGGAGGGCGAGGGTGAGAAACCCTGGGAGATGAACGGTGGGATTTTGTTGGTTGGGGGGAAACCGGGGGAAAGGAAGCAGATCTTTTCCCAGCTCGCACTCACCCTGCTTTTTTCTCTCTCTCCTCCTTTTCCCGGGGCCTCCCTATGCATCGCATCAAGTGGTCGCTCGGCACGTACGAGAATGTTCCCTACGTCCAAAGGTCGAGGCGTGTAATGGATGACGGCTCGGGAGGAGCTGCTCACGGCAGCCGGAAGCAGTCGCCATTCGCCTCTCTCGATGCGAACGTGCTTCTGAAGATCATCGAGTTTCTCACCGTCGGAGAAGTCTGCCGCAGCCTCCTTCGTTCCTCTGCATCGCTGTACCGTGCTCTCCATCGGATGAGGTGACACATGACGCGCACAGAGAAGACCCCGGTTCGGGCATGATCTTGCACGGTTCGTCCCTGCTGTCTGCATGTGTGTTTCAGTGATTCATGGCAGCTGGCGTGCGGATCCCTGCGCGTCAACAGCCGGACCGCAGACTCAGTCCTCGCCCATTCCAAGGCCCTTCTCGCGAGCTCAGTCATCAGCCTGTCCATCGACGTGGGCACGCGGGAGGAGTTCCTGAGGCTGGTGCAAGTCTTTGAGCAGTGCACCAACCTCCGCTTCCTAACCATATCGGTCTTCCTCAGCAGCGCCTTCTCGACAGCCGACTATGCCCGCGTCAGCGCTGCCATCCTGCAGAACTCGGCGTCGCTGTGTATGCTGGACTTGCGGGACTGCAACGCATACGACATCGTCAGAGCCGCTATGGAGCAATTGCGGTCGTTCAGAGAGCTGAGGTCGCTCAACCTGCGAAGGCGGCTTGGGCTGAAGGCCGTGCGAGAGGCGGTTGGGGCACATCTGGCCTCATGCGAGAAGCTGGTGGAGCTGGATATCTCGCGCAACGCCCTTGAAGCATCCATGATCCAACTGGTACGAGAACAAAAGAAAGGGAGGGCGTGCAGACACGGTGTGTCGATTTCCATTCTGTGTGTGAGGATGGCTCAAATCAGGTGAGCACACTTCCACAGCTGCGGACAGTGAACCTCTCACACAACCCCGCCACCTTCCCCGGCAAGGTGCGAGCCATTGGCGAAGTGTTCAGACGCTGCCCCCGGCTGCAGAAGGTCGAGATCGGCTGCAATGGCATCACCAGTCAGGAACTCGCCACTCTCTGTGAAGAGGCATTCCCTCACGCGGAGAAACTGATCGTAAGCGACCACACGGGGGCATGGCATGGTAGGGAGGCGTCTGCCCATGCTTCGTTCGTTGTCTGTGTCTCCTTTTGCTGCAGGTGTTGGGTCTGTCGAACAACCGCATCTATGAGTACGGTGCTCGGTGTCTGGTGCGCCTGTTTGAGGAGCGGCCCGCCGTGTTGCCAAACCTCCGCTACCTTGATCTGAGCTACAACGCTGTGGACAACCCAGCGGTGAGCTGAGCAAGCCACGATGGAAAGTCACTGAGCAGTGCCATCCTCATGAGAGCCTCACTCATCTGTTTCGTGTGTGCCGTGGCTGTGGCTCTCAGCTGGTGGATCGTTTGGCAGAGGTGGCTGGCAACCGTTCTGTGCCGTGTTACGTGAATGGCGAGAGCACTGAGGACCCATATTACCAGGAATATCATGACCTGGCGGAGATACTGGCGGAGGAGAAAAGCAAGTGGTAGATCGCTGGCTCGCTCGGTCGTTGCTGTGCCTTGTCTAGACTAGATGGATGCATGGATGGATGGATCTCTGCAGAGGTGATTGACAGACATAGGCAAGTGTGTGAGTGTCAACGATCGTTCGTGTCGTGTGTCCACCAACAGACACCATGCAGACTATAGTCTGCATGGTCTGTCTGGTGGTCCATCCAGTGTCGTCCATTGTCTGCCGCCATGGTGGTCACTCTTCATGCTCGTGGCTCTGTCACCACCTGCATGACGCGTGACCAGCCGGAGACGGACAATGGGAAACACACCAACTGCATTGCAATCCATCAGCACATCAATCACACGTCGGAGAGACCTCACACACACGGCATGATGTCCATGTGTAGTGCAAACACGCACGCGACATTCACTGACTGACTGCATTAATGTCAAAAATACTCATTACTCATGTAGGCAGGCAGCCACGTACAAATCGATAAATCGTTGGTTGCGCCGATCAGATCGATGGCATCCCTCACACACTCTCATCCACACACTCACATCCACACACTCACTCACACCTTGACGGCCGGCCCAAGCCAGCCGAGACCCCCACCCCACACCAGTTAGTAACGTTAGGCATACACGTCCTCCCTGTCGGCGCCCTCGTCAGGCGCCGCCTCCATCTGGGCAAACTGGAGGTAGTGGGCAGGCCTGACGACAGACAGACACATGGCACAACACACAGACAGCAGAGCACAGCGATTGGTGCAGGGCGGGGGGACGCGCGCGCGCGCGTGTGTGTGTGTGTTGTGTGTGCTGGTTGAAGTGTAGTGTACCTGTGCAGCTCGTGGTAGAATTCCTTGGGGTTATCGAGGGTGAGGTGGTACTTCATGTTGATCGAGTGCTTCACACCCATGAAGTTGTAGTTCCACATGCTGCCCTCGGGGACCATAAAGAAACCTGAAGGAAGGCACACACATACACACACCGTAGGTAGACACGCGAGACACGCATGAATGAGTGCACAATCAATGGCATCTCTCGCTCTTGTATTTGCGGCGGGTGTAGGTGTGTGTGCGCATCCGTCCGTACCGAGGAACGTGTCGGAGAGGAGCATCTGCACCTTCTCGTAGTGGCTGGGCAGGTAACCTGACGGAGAGGGACCCGAATCCTTGTTGCTCTTGCCCCAATTGTAGCCCTGACACAGCACAACACAACACGCATACACATCAACACACCACACGCCCAGCCCCGCCCACCCTGCCATGTGTGTGAGTCTCTCTCTGTGTGCCATCCATTCATTACCTGCGCCGTAAGTTTGTACGCCACGAGTGAGCATGATCCGGGGGTGAAGCTGCAGGTGATGATGATGGTGGCGTCGGCATTCCAGGTCTTGTTCTCGGCCAGGATCCTCGCGTGCATCGTGACGTCCTGCGGCGACAGCTGGGGGGACTCGTTGGGCTGTGTGTGGATCCACCCGAGTGGCTCGAGGTCCTTGAGGAACTCGTGTTCGGGCAGCTGGGAGGGCAGGGTCACCGACTGGTGGGTGCCCACCTGCGGCACCACAACCATCGCACGGATCTCCTTCACCTGCACTCCGACACCGATGGATGGACACGGTCACAACACACACACAGAGAGGGAAGGGAAGCGGTATGCATAGTTTGTGTGCACTGCACTGTGTGAAGTGAATGTAAAGTAAATGACGCACGCACCTGAGGGTTGTCTGGTGGTGAGATGCCGAAGAGGTAGGCCGCAATCTGAGTCCTCAGGTCGGCCACGCAGATGAACCGCTTCAGGATGTTCTTGGGGATCACAAACGTGTAACCTGCACACAGCACAGGCAGACAGCACACAGGAGACCCACCGCACAATCAGTGCTCACCGGTCTGTCTGTGTCTCCCCCCGACGCCCACAGACACACCGACTCACTCACCGGTTTCTTTGATGTCCTCGGTGTTGCAGTAGATGTGGTTAGTCCTGAGGTGCAGCGTGGTGGCCGAGATGGCCCGCACGCGCCAGTCGGTCTTGGATGAGAAGACCTGCTGCTCGTGGGGCGACTGGGTGCTGACGACGAGCTCGTCGCCGTGGACGTTGACGGTCCGGGTGGTGACGGCCGTCACCTGGCTCTGCTCCTTGGTCTGCTTCTCGATCTCGGCTATCTGCTGACGCTGGATGGATGGCGGCGCGATCTCCATTCCTGTAGCAACGAGCGCAGCGCACGACACACCGTCAATCACCCTTGTCTTTACATACAGCAGGTTGCTGTGTGGTGTGAGCTGTTAGTCACCGAGAATGATGTCTCTGATCTCGGATTGCGTGAGCGATGCGACGTTGACGTTGTTCTTCTTGCCGTAGTCGGCGAGGATGAGGTCCTTGAGGGCGGTCTCGACGCTGATCCACTCGGTGTCCGAGAGGGTCGGCCACACGTGGTGCGGCTGCGTCACGGTCGTCTTGTTCGGCTTCAGTATCACCTTGGCCCTGCACGAACCACCACAACAGCACCACACGCACACGCACACGCAGATCAGCTGGCGTGTGATTACTTTGTGTGCGTGTGTGTGTGTGTGTACCTCTCTGTGTTGACGTGGAGTGCCCTGAGTATGAGGATGAGCCTCGAGAATGCCGTGTATGAGGAGATGGACTTGAGCCAGTCGTCGTAGAGGTTGAAGAGGACCATCTCCGGCTGCAGGGCCTTGAGGATCAGGTCGCCGAACTTCTCGATCTTCATGATGGCCTGGAAGGGCAGCTGCAGCTCAGACCCTGACCACGGGCAACAACACACACGTCGTGAGGGTGGTTGGTTCTCTCTCTCTGTGTGTCTGTGTGTGGGGTGGGTGCTCTACCCTTGATGACGATGTTAGGGAAGTCAAGGAGATGGACCTCGAGAGGGTCGAGCATGCCCTTGCGCGTGACGATGATCTGCTTGGGCTGCTCCTCCACCGGCAGCGACCGAATCAGCGCCGCGACCTCCTCGGCGGTCTTCCACTTGGCCAGCTGCGACAGGCGCTTCTGCCCCGCCCACACCGACGTGTGGATGATCTTGAGGAACAGCTGGCCGGTTCTGGGGTTGAAGATGAAGATGGCGCCGTTGACGGGCTTGGTGGTCAGGTTGCCCTCGAACGTCTTGTGGATCGTCACGCGGTACACATTCGTGTCATCCACAAACCTGACACACACACACACACACATAGAGCACGGCAGCAACCAACAAATGAGAGACCGGTCGATCCATGTGTTGTGTTGGTGCATCTCTGCGCACCATATCGTCTGTGCCGAGAAGAGCTCGCCGTAGTTCTGCGAGTTGAGGTACGGCTCGGTGGGTTCGGACGAGTAGAGCTGCAGCCCCTTGCGGATACGCTCGCGCAGGACGTACAGGGCCGGGTTGGCCTTCATGACCTTGTTCATGGCACGCTGCAGCAGCGGCTTCCCACCTGTTTGTTAACCACATTGATCAGATCACACACAGGGAGGGACGTGAATGCGCCAGTGTGCGGCGTGAGACAACAAGCGTATGTACCAGGGAACCAGTTGCCGAATCCTGAGTGGAGGTTATAGGCCAGGTCGATGCCGAGGAGGACGCCGGTGGGCGAGGGGTAGATGGACATGTTGTCGGTGGTGTAGTCGAGGAACTTGGCGCGGCAGTACCGCTCGATGTCGTGGCTGTCGAAGTCGCCCCACCGCAGCTGCACGTCTACCCTGCACACACACACACGAACACCCCATCCAACAACAGATGAAGCGTCTGCGCTGCCTTTTCGTGTGTCTGATTTTGTTTCTCTCTCACCAGTATCTTGTGGTGGTAGTGCCGTCGAATGCGTCCTTGGCCTCTGCCAGCAGTGAGGGTTTGCTGATGGCCCACTTGTATGCGGCGAGGAGGAGGATGTCGGCGCACGACGAGTTCATCTTGTACGACTTGCGCGGGTGGATGGTCTCCTTCTGGACGTTCTCGATCTCCAGCGAGTCGAGCTCGAGGTCGAACACCTGGCACAGATCCATCACCACTGACTCGTGGATCTTCTGCCACAGATGCGCTGCACACACACACACAGACAGACACACAGAGAGAGAGAGAGAGAGAGACGGAGGGAGGGAGGGAGGGAGAAGACGCCGGTTTGTTTGCATCTTGTGTGTGTCTATATCTGTGTGTGTGGTTCTGTTGGGTGCCCTCCTTACCTCTGAAGATCTGTATGAGTGAGATCTTGAGTGTGGGGATCTTGCCATGCATGAAGATGCCAGTGAGGTCGAGCTGCACCTGGAAGCCGACGTACACGTTGGCGCGGTTGATGGTGGGCGACCACCAGAGGGTGAACCGACGGTTGGGGATCTGGTTCAGCCCTGACCGCTGCGCGTTCGTCAGCTTCTTGTACTTCATCGACTCCTCAAACCTATATAATTATGGCAATCACCATACACACGCACGCACACACACACACACACATCTCCATGAGAGAGAGGCCAAATGGCTGCTCGTCTCGTGAGTGGGTTCGGTTCGGTGAGTGGACTGACTGACCCTGAAGCCTTTTCCCAGAAGAGCCCCTCCCATGTCGGGAAGTAGGTGCCCTTGAAGAGTGTGTGTTCGAGGATGCCTTCGACGCCGCCCAGTGCCTGGATCATGTCGGTGCGGTAGTTGTTGAGGTTCCACAGCTTGCCGTCGTGCCGCTGGTGGGTCCACCAAAACGGATTCGCCTTCAGCAGCTGCACAACACACACACACACCACACATACACAGCAGAGGTGCAGCCATGGTGGACGTCTGTCCCTCCCTGTTCACCCCCACACGCACCTGGAATTGTTTGAAGTCTTGCCTGACGCGCCATCCTTTGTCGTAGGCGAGGGTGTGTCTGTCCTTCTGGAAGAGGGTGTTGATGCGGGGAATGCCCCGGTCCCAGCTGTCCTCGAGATCCTCGAGCGTCAGGCGCCTGTTCTGGGCGTTGGCCTCCTGCCGCTTCAAGGCATACTCGGCCCACACACGCTGGCTGTCGATGAACTCGGACTCCCACGTCTGTTCGGCCACACACATGACACAACACAGCGCAGCACACGACACCAATGAGACGGGCCTTCTCGCACGAGAGCGTGTGTGGTTGACGCACCTGGATGTATCTGTAGAGATTGGGGATGAGCTGGTCCTCCTCATGGCTCATGCCCGCCCTGAAGTGGGTGATGCCCGTCTCGGTCTGCTTGCTGTAGCGGAGGTCGCTCTGCGGGATGAGAATGTGGCCCATCGACAGCATCCCCAGCCCGCCCAGCTCCTTGGGCGTGTAGAAGACCACCGGCGGGAAGCGCGAGGGCATCTTGGAGTTGAGGCCGATCTTGATTCGCGTCTGGATCTTGTTCTCGCACTTGACGAGGAGGTCGAGGAGCTGCTCCGTGTGGATGACGGCCTCTCTGTAGTAGGTCATGAGGCCGATGAGGGTCGTGTTCCACTTGTTGGCGATCTTGGTGAAGGTCGTGCTGCCCGACGCCATCAGAATCTGCCGCACCCGGTTCTCGAACCGCTTCAGGCCGTCGTCGTCCACACGGAGGAAGGCCTGTGCCGTCATCTCCTTGGTCGTCTCGTTCTGCAGCTTCCACACGCCCTCCTTCTGCGAGAACTCCTCCTGGAAGGTCCGGATCTTGGGCAAGATGCGAACCTGAACACAACACACCAGACAACACCATGGTGACATCACCTGGCTGTGTCTGTGTGAGTATGGGTGTGGGTGTGGGTGTGTATGCGGCTGACCTCGAAGCCCGTCATTGCGAAGAGCAGATTGGGGTTGTCTCTGCTGTAGACGGACACGAAGCTGTTGTCCCACTCGAGTGTCGTGACGGAGCGGGGTAGCCGGTTCTGGATCTCCCAGAAAGTGGCGCGACCCAGGTTGACGTCGTGCTTCATCCTGACACACACGCGCACAGCGGAAGAAACAGGTGTGCATGCCACTCTGTGAGCGGGGATGTGTTGGTTGGTGTGTGTGTGTGGGTGTGTGTGAGTGGGCTGACCTTCTCATTCTGCAGTCCCTTGGCCAGCATTTCTTGTTGTTGTATCCGACGATGTTTTCGTTGTTGGGGTCGGGGTTCTCCGTCAGGTACCGCTGCACCAAATCGCGAGCCTCCTCCTTCTCAAACCGAAACAAAATCCAATACCTAACACACGCAAACACAAAACACAGAACACAAAACACACGGATGTGTCAACTGACACGCCCTCTGTGTGTCTGTGTGTGGGTGTCTACTGGTCGATGTATCGGCAGTAGAGGCGTATCGGGTGGTGGGTCTCGGTCTCGACGTCGGTGAAGGTGAGGAAGTCATTGGGCAGGTTGGGCGGGCCCGCCAGCTCACTCGCGCGCGTGAGGCCCAGGACGAGCAGGTCGAGAATGAGGCCGTAGTACTGGAAGATGAACGACGCGAACTGCAGCCCGCGGATGAGACCGAACGAGTTGATGTGGTTCATGTCCTGAGTGGATCAGATGGGACAGACAAAGACAAACAAGACAGACACACAGACAGAGTGACAGTGTGTGGGAAGCTAAGCTGTCTGTGGGAGTCGAGTGCATTCGTTGTGTTGAAGGTGTGTGTGACCTTGAAGTTGATGGCGACGTTGTTCTTGGAGGTGCAGTAGTCGGCGATGTTGTGGTCGACAATCAGACGCAGCAGACGGTTTAGCAACGTCAGGTCGATCTTCTCGTACACCTGCACTCACAAGCAGAGAGAGAAATGAGCCACACACGCACATGCCACCTGGTCCCTGCCCCCCTTTCTCTCCCTCCAATGAGCGAGTAGGTACCTTTTCGAATCTGGACTCCATGCAGACGACGCACTGGCCGTCCGAAGTGTCCCAGATGTCAGTGAGGTTGTTGATGCCCTGGCACCACTTGTACACCAGCAGGGGGGGGGGCTCGCTGTCCGACGGCTTCACCCAGTTCGGGAACAGGTGACGGTTGTCCGCCTCGTACCTAAAGGAAAGAAAGAAGGAAAGACACACAAAGGCATCGGCGGTCGGTCGCCACATCACACACACACACAGCAGTCATCGTTGTGTGCGTGTCAGTGAATACCATAGGTACTGGTCGAGGTATGCGTCGGTGATCTTCTCGAGCGGGTCGACCTCATAGACGGGCACCAGGTGGGAGTAGAGGTCCATGAACTGGATCCCCACCTCCTTGAACGTCCGCATCGTCAGCAAGTGGCGCTTGATCCGCGACAGGGCCTCGTGGGGGTTGTCGTAGGCCTGTTCGATGAGCCCCAGCTCCTCCCTCTGCAGCTGGTTCAGGCGGGACTTGACCGAGTAGGCCTCCTTGAGCCGCTCGAGTGCGAGGATGAGGAGCTTGGTGTCGTGTTTGTAGTTGAGGGGCGGGAAGGGGATGTGGGTGAACTTGCGCGACTCCAGCCAGTGCACTGCCGTGGTGTAGATGGCCACCGCCTCCTCGCCGGTGATGTACGGGCCGTCCTTCAAGTAGCTGTGCTGACGCTCTTGCTCAGCCTGATTGATGGAAGGAATCAATGGGAAGGAGGCAACAACGTGGCTGCAGGGTCTGTGTGGCTGTGCGTGTGAGTGCGTGTTGGCGGCTGCCGGCAAGTGGCTGACCTTGAGCCAGAGGCGTGTGAGTCTGCCGAGGTTTTTCTTGCAGACGGTCTTGTCGACCGTGGCGCCCCTCTTAATGCGCTCGCGGTTGTAGTAGGCCGCGTTGGTCCACCAGTCGGCCTTCATCTTGACGTACCTGAACCCCGCACACAGAGAGACACACCGCAACACATAAGGGCTGATGCAAGTGAGTGCGGGCGGTGGTGTCGTGTTGTGTGCTGACTGACCGGAGGATCATGTTTTCGATGGGCGCGGGAAGTCCCGGTACCTTCCACGGGATGTTGGCCTTCCAGCACCGCCACGCCTCGCTCAGATGCTGCAGGATGGTGCGCGCCTTGTTGGCCTGATTGATACACCCAGGTGGGAGACAGGAACGGACAGGAAACGACACAGCCGAATGAGCATCCCTGTCTGTGTGTCTGTCCTCCCCCTTTGACTGACCTTGACACCTTCGGGCATCATGTCGAGGATGTCGTGCATCACCGCAGCACGCAACTCCAGGTCAAAGTGAGACTCAACCTAAGCCAACGAACCAAACACCACACACAAGACAAAAACAGATGCACCACCACATCGATCTGCCTTGTCTTGTGATGTGATGCTGGTCCTACCCTCTGTTTGGTGACGGTTTTGGCGATACCCTTTGACACGCGGCCCTCGAACTGCCTGGCGAGGAGGTTGCCCAGCCACCTCTCCAGCAGCGGCATGACGCCACGCAGGAAGAAGATCCATACACGCCACCCTGGGGCCCAGAAGCCGCACCCCGGACCCTTGCCCACCGGCCCACTGTTGAACCGGTAGTAGATCAGGTGCTTCAAATCCTTGCACATCCGGACCTGACACCCACCACACACATCACAATCACAACACCATGTCCGTCTGTGCGTGTTGGGTTGTGTGTCGAGTAGACGACGGTCGGTCGCTCGGTTACCCACCTGTCTCATGAGCCTGTACTTGTACCGGTACATGCCGGTGAGCTGCCCCACGTGAGCGAAGATATACTGCAGCCCGTCGGACAGCTGGAAGGCGTCCACGTTGCCCAGCCGGTACTGCACGTGGCTGTCGATGATCAGCTTGGTCAGACGCAGGATCTCGCGACACAGGTGGAACGCATTGCCGAAACGAGACTTCTTCCGCTCCTTCGTCGTCAACGTCTGGTGGACGACCACACACACACACACACACACGCACAAAGGGGGAGACGGCCAGTGAGCACTCGTGGGGCAATCGTCTGTGTGTCGCGGGGTGGGGGGAGGAGGGTTCGACCGGACCTTGATGGGTTTGAGGTTGAAGTTGTAGTCGAGGTGGAGGTAGTTGAGGTTCTTGCGGTGGATGAGGAGGTTGAGCATGTTGTACCCCTGCCGACACACCTGCAGGCCCACCTCGACCCAATCCAACTCGGTGCACTGGAAAAACTTGGTCGACTTGAACACCTGGCAGCGACCACCGAGACGACCAACACACGATCACGTGCTTGCTTGGGGGGGAGGGGACGGGTGTCGATGTGTGTGCGTGAGTGCGTGTGAGTGGGTGACCTTGAAGAGGTATCTCTTCTTTAGCGACCGTGGCGGCTTTGAGTGGAGGTGGTTGAGCACCCAGCACTTGAGCAGCTTCTGGTACGACACACGGACCTGATACAACACCACACCACACACATAAATGAATGGACGTGTGTATGGCATTCCATGTGTGTACCTTACCTTGACAGGGTAGGATGAGGGGCAGTGCTCTCTGAACCAGCTCTGCACGAGTGGGATGTCGATGCACCGCTTCGTCTTGGCCGACCGAAGGTTGAACGGACGAGGCGCCCAATACAGCGCTATACCTGCACACACACACAGACAGACACAGACACACACAAAAGACATGGCTGCCTGCCCACAACCCAGCTGCCGTGTGCTCTTCTTCTGACCGTTGTTGGTGTTCTCTGTCATGAGTGGCGCGTTCGAGCAGAAAGGCGTCACGTCAGGCGAGAGCTGGAACTGTGCGAGTTCCTCGTCGGGCGGAATGTCCTCAGTGGTGCTGCTGCCCGTGCGGTAGGCCGGGAGGGGGTTGATGATGCTGTCGTAGTAGAAGGTGGGCAGGTCGGGGTCCTCAGCCTGCACACACACACACACACACACACAGAGAGAGAGAGAGAGGGAGAGAGAGAGGGATGGAGTGTGTCTGCCTGCGGCAGGCAGTGGCCCGCCGACTGGCCGACTGACTGACCTTGACGTATGCGCATGCGGGGGTGTGGTAAGTGGTCATGGCCACCTTGCGCGGCCGGCTGTTGTACAGGTAGGGGAAGGCGATCTTGTACTCGGTGCGGATCTGCTGCCTGCAATTTACCACACAACACCACACCACACCACACCATGGATGGATCCGACCCATCTCCCTCCCTCTCCGTGTAGACAGACAGACAGTCTGTGTGTGTGCCGTGGATGGACCAGCGCACCTGATAATGATTTTGTTGATGTCGTTGAACTCGTTCCAGTCCTCGTCCTCCTCGTACATGTCGCGGTAGAGCGGCTCGAACTTGGGGCCGCCGGGAATGGCCATGTTGAGCGCCTTGGCCGTGTAGAAACTCTTCAAATCAAACAGGTAAAAGTAATTGTCATCCTGTTCGACAGCACACAGAGGGGCGGGCAGAGAGAGAGAGAGAGAGAGGAGAGGAGAGATGTGTGTGTGTGTGTGTGTGAGGTCCTCAGTGAGTGTGTGAGTGCACACACACCTGGAGGTCTGACAGCAGCTGGTTTGCGAGTCGGTAGAGCACGCCCATCTGCTGCAGATTCAAACGCCACTTGCGATACGTCGGACCGTTCACCTGAGAAGCCACACACAGACAAGCAGACAGGCCAACACGCATAGCATATGGCCGCAATGACATATGGGTCAATCAATCGCCTCATGGTGGTGCCATACGTGGTTCTTGTCGTATTTGAGCGGCTGGTGGTCGTAGAACCAGTCGATGACGGCGGCGTCCTCATCCTCGTCGAGCTTCATCTGAATCGGCTCCAGAGGCTCCACATCAGCTACATTGTCCTGAACACAGACACGGAGAGAGAGAGAGATGGTGCACACAACGGAACAACCCGAGTGAGTCACACAATGGATGGCCTCGACTCACCCCGTAGTCGAGCGGCGGTTCCTCGTCATCGAATGGCGGGAATCTCATTCGTTTGAAGTGTCTTCTGTCTCGCTTCTCTCGGCGCATCATGATCCACATGGTGCCCCACTGGGCGAGGAAGACCGGGTCAATGACCCATGGTATCTCGTTGACGAAGGTGATGGCGCCCGTGATGTGGTAGATGACGCTCACGTTGCGCACCTGCTCCCACGGCATCGGCATGTTCTCCAACAGCTTGTACACGGCGTGAGGCACGTACTTCAACGCACCCTGACATAGATCGACACACACACACACACACATCCTCTCATCTATCTGTGTCGCAATGTTGAGTGAGTGAGTGACTGACCAGGTAGACGCGCTTGTCGTGTCTATACTTCCTGCTGCTCATATCGCCGTGGTCCTTGATGATCTTCCTAAGGTGCTCGGGCGGCATGGCCTCCTTCTGCTGCTCGCTGTACCCAAACCGCCGCTTGTCGCCGTACCGCTTGGCATTCAGCTGCTGCCACTTCCGAGCCTTCTCGTCCAGCTGCTCCTCCAGCGTCTTGACGCGACCCATCCCGACAGGCATCGACGTGCCTGGAGCGTGTGCGCCTCCCATAGGCATGGGCATGCCCGGCGGCGGTCCGCCAGCCATCCCGGGAGGCGCCTGGGGAAACGGCTGATACATGGCCGACCGTATCGACGGGTCAGTCACTCCCGACTGGAGATCAACACACCGACAGGCGCATCTGCAGTCAAGCTAAGGTTATCGATGCCCAGAACCGCTCTGCTTTCGCTTTTTCACGTCGAGACACTGTTTGCCTTTGCAAGCTAAGCTCGCAAAGCAGAAAGGGTGAAGGAAAGACCAAGCAGAGGGCAGACGTATGAGTGAAGCATGAAGTGCTTCATCCTCTTTGGTTCATTTTGCTTCCTGACCTGTCGTCGTCTCACGGCTGTGGTATCTCGAGCGGCTGTCATTTCTCGAGTGGCCTCCTGACTGACCAGGGTGCCTGCCTGCGACCGCGTAGCTACGTCCCTCTCTCGGTGCCACCTCGATGGCGGCGGTGTGTTTCCTGTGCACGTGTCGCGAGACCCATGTGGGCGAGTCTGTGTGCGTCATCGGTGCGGACGAGACGCTGGGGTCGTGGGGTGCCGCCAAGGCCATCCCCCTGACGACGACGGCCGAGACCTTCCCCGAGTGGAAGTCGCCCGAGATTCATTTCCGGCCGGAGGGCAGCGGCATCACCGAGTACAAGTACATCATCCGGCGGTCGCCTGAGCAGGTCCGGTGGGAGCCCATCGGCGGCAACCGCTCCCTCTCTATCCAGAGGAACCACCTCACCACCATCCGCAACAACTGGGGCGACCCCAACCTCTCAACCATGACGTACGAGCCCCTCACCGTGTCCTACGACAACAACGGCAGCGGTGGCGGGGCCTTCAGCTCCTACAACGACGCCTACGGCCACCACGGCTTCAGGCCGGGCACCGGCGAGGCCAGCCCAGAGTGCCACCCCGACCCCGAGGCGTCGCGCTTCTACGGCGCTGGCCTGCCTCCCCCGGCCGGCGAGCCGGCCAACGAGCGGCCGCTGACACCCCGCCGCGGGCACACATTCCAGCGCGAGGCGTTCATCTTGGCCAACACAGGGCCGATGACGCGGTACTACCGGATGACCGAGAAGGTGGGTCAGGGGACCTGGGGTTCGGTGCACGAGGTGGTTAACAAGGCGACGGGGATGGTGCGTGCGGCCAAGAAGATCCCCAAGTGCTACGTGGAGGACATCGACCGGTTCCGGCAGGAGATCGACATCATGAAGTCGCTCGACCACCCCAACATCGTCCGGCTGTACGAGACCTTCGAGGACCCCACCGACATCTACCTCGTCATGGAGATGTGCCAGGGCGGCGAGCTGTTCGACCGCCTCCTCGATGAGGGCACATTCACAGAGGAGGACGCCGCGCGCCTGCTGCGGCAGATCCTCAGCGCCATCCAGTACTGCCACAACTGCGGCGTGGCCCACCGCGACCTCAAGCCCGAGAATTTCCTCTTCCTCAAGAAGACCAAGGACAGCCCCATCAAGCTCATCGACTTCGGCCTGGCCACCCGCTTCACGACGGGCGAGCCCATGCGGACACGGGCGGGGACCCCCTACTACGTCAGCCCCCAGGTGCTCGAGGGCAGGTATGGGCCAGAGTGCGACGTGTGGTCGGCCGGCGTCATGATGTACATCCTCCTCTGCGGATACCCGCCATTCAACGGACCATCGTAAGCAAAGAAAGCATCACACCCACCCCACACCCCACCCACACACGCGGCGATGGATGCCCCCTTTCTCATTCGTATGTGTGTGTGTGTGTGTGTGGTGGTATGGTTGAATCAATCAATCAGTGACGCCGAGATCATGCAGAAGGTGAAGATCGGCAAGTTCCAGTTCCCCGAGGCGGAGTGGCAGCAGGTGTCCAACGAGGCCAAGGACCTCATCACCAAGCTGCTCACCCGTCACCCCAAGTACCGCATCACCGCCGACGAGGCCCTGCAGCACCCCTGGTTCCACGCATTCACCCCCGAGAACCCCGCAGCCAGCCGGCCGCTGGGCTTCGACATCCTCGCCAAGTTCCGGCGGTTCCAGGGGCTCTCGCGGATGAAGAAGATCGCGCTAACGGTGATAGCCCAGCAGATGAGCGACAACGACATCGAGACGCTCAAGGAGGCCTTCATGATGCTCGACAAGCGGGGCAACGGGAAGCTGACGGCGGCCGAGATCCGCGAGGGCATCATGGCGGGCGGGATGCGGCAGATCCCCGCCGACTTCGAGAAGATCCTCCAGGACGTCGACACGGCCGCCACCGGCACCGTCGACTACACGGAGTTCCTGGCCGCCTGCCTCAATCAGTCCCACTACATCCAGGAGGAGGCCTGCCGGGCCGCATTCCGCGTCTTCGACATCGACGGCAACGGCCGCATCTCCAAGGACGAGCTGCGCCAGGTCATCCACATGGCGGGGGCGCCGGGCGGGGGGCCCATGCACAACGGGGGCTTCTCGCCCGAGGAGGGAGACTTCCCAGACACGGACAGCGAGCTGTTCGAGGGCGACTGGGGGCAGGACGGCGAGATCGGGTTCGACCAGTTCGTCCAGATCATGAGGAAGGTCCCCTCACAGGCACTCCTCGCACCAGAGGAGACCGTCAGCATGATGAAGAAGGTACCACATACACACACACAGAGAGAGAGGGGGGGGAATGGATGGACGATTGGTGCATTTCTCGCTTCTCTCCTGTCGTGTGTGTGTCGTGCAGGTGCCGTCGCGCAGCTCGGTGGCCACGCTGTCGAACGCCAACCTGAGCTCACTCGGATAGCCAGGGGATGGATGGATGGATGGATGGATGGGCCGCCGGATGGATGGATGGAGGAGGCAAGAGTGCTGTCTTGGCGGTGGTGGTGGGCAGTGGTGGACGTAAGTGGGAAGTTTTGATACGTATCTGGCTATATTATTGGATGGATACGTGTGTGCGTGCGTGCGTGTGTGCGTGCCGGGGAGCGATCGATTGCCACGATTTCTAGACGTGATTGATAGTGAGTACCCGACCGACAAGGGAGTGAGTGAGTGAGTGCTTTTGTCGACGTGTATGGTATGCTCCCACCTGCGTACGGACACAGCAAAACACATACATACCATGTACGCGGCCAATTTAAGGGGCGGGAGGGGAGGGAGGGGACTCATGTTGCCCGCCATTGTGGTTGTTGAGTATGTGTACCTGCCTGACTGCACGATTTCTTTCTTTCTTGTCGTACCTGCTCGTACCTACCTGCCTTCCTGCCTGGCTACCTGTTTGTCTCACTTCCTGTCGCTACACACAGTGCGTGCGTTCATCATTGCTTGGTATGTCTTTCTGACCATGCCATGTACTTGTCTTGCCTGTCGGCTGGGTGGTGACCCTCTTTCTCCCAGACAGACAGACAGACAGAAAGACAGACAGACGGCCATTCCTTCGTTCCTTCGTCCATCCATCCGTGTGCATATGGGGGGAAAAGGGACCGATTGATGTGTTTCGTGTTAATCTGTCCCTTGCCGCCTTGACTCACTCACATACACACACACACACACACATCCACCCAATCGAGGGCACACACCCCTCCCTGGCTTTCTGGCCAATTAACCTGACTGACTGACTGAGGGCGTGAGTGGGTAGGAGAGCGGTGACTGACGACAGTTTTGCATGCGCGTGGGAGAGAGGTGGAGACGACCTGACGTGACTGACGTGATGACCTGGCTTATCGACCTGACAGACAGAGAGCCTCATGAGTCTGTGTGTGTGTGTGTGGATCCACACGCATTGACGTGCACACTCCTGTTTCCTACCGGCGCACGTGGTGTTTCTCATGACCCACTTGATGGATGGATGGATGAATGGACGCGGTGCCCCTCCGTCCCCGTTGCCTCCCCCCACTGTGTGTAGCGTCCTCTAGCTCCCCCCCCCCCCTTCCCCCC